CAAATAGGACAACAACTCTCTATTACTATACTCACCACCTTGATCAGATTTCAGTATCGTACTTTAGTATCAAAGTGAGTGCGTATCATCTTATGAAAGACCTTGAAGATACAGGAACTTCATTGTTTATCTTCATAAGATAGATCAAGGTACACTGAGAGTAATCTTTCACAAAAGAAGCAAAATACCGATAGCTAAAAATAGATGTAACAGGGGACGAACCCTACACATCATAATAGAGAATAGCAAAAGAAATAGTACTTCTATTACTATTGAGTAAAAAAGCATTTCTATAATGTTTTGACAGTTCACAGACCTCACATTGAAACTCTGACACGCTACTCGAAATAAATAACTCAGGAAACATAACTTTTAATGACTGAAAACATAAATAACCAAGTCGAAGATGCCACTACTAAATCTGTTCCTTATTAAAACTGGTGCTGGATTGAAGGGCTTGAGGTGTAGTTGTTGCCAAGTCTAGATTGTAAAGACCTCAGGTTCATGTCACTGAAATCATCATCCTCATACCCAGGTCCTAAAAAACACAGTGGGAATGAAAGAAGGTTACACATAATTTATGCTCTTGGTAAGGGAACTGACAAACATCAAGTTTATATAAAAGCTGACAACACGGAGAACTGATGATAATGACATTTGAGGGGAAATATATATTATTGCTTTTCCAGAGATAGAAGAAAAAGATCCATCATAGATCCTAACTTTGTCTCTACATGAACAAAGGGAATAAGAAGAAAACAAGGAAGACATGGCAGTTAATGTGGTCTGAGGCTTCTGAAATAATAATCTAGGGATCCAAATGGCCTAAGAGAGACATGATGAGCAGAAGCATGAGTACCTGAGTGTGTAAAAAATGAAGTAGAAGTAGTGGATGGGCCATCTAACTAGGGGATCAACCTGGGAAGGCTGCAATCTCTTCTTTAGGAACTAATATCAACTCCTTTGGAGTAGGAATTAGAGGTCGAATTGCGTTGGGTAATGGCTGATCAGTACCAACATCAACTCTCCCAGTCGATGAAGCATTATGACTATTAAACTGACGTAGACGGTTGAATTTAGCTGGCCATCCAACTAGATCGCAGCGCATTTCTTTGTTATGGTCATTTCTCCTTTAGTGAGCACATTCCACCTAACTTTTATCTCTTGATTAGGGCTCCCCTTTTCAAAATTTCCAAGGTCTAGTTTCCTTATTGTTTTGGGAGGTAATGAGGCTGAAGAAAGGGTACATCGATCAACTACTTAAGGAAGCAGCATGACATTTTTCTGCTCTCCTCACTTTGAACAAAGAAATACATTGAGTGATGGAAGAGCATCCTACTGAGTATTTGAACCCTAGCTAACTCAAACTCAGGGTTCAATCCCTCCAGGAACTAAAAAATACAGTTTTGCTTTACAAACTGTTTGTATTTTCTCCCATTTTCCTTATAAGCTAGCTGAAGTAACTGGTAATGGTTCAACTCCTCCCACATGCCATGAAGTAAAGAGAAATATGTAGCAAGAGATCTCTTCCCCCTATGAAAGATGGGAAATTTCCTGTCTCAGTTGGTACAACTCGAGCTATATTTTTGCTTTGGGAGTAGGTTTTATATAATTGAGTCCCAAATCTCTCTTGTAGTTTGAAGGAATAAGAAGCCCCTACTAATCAATAGTTGCATTATGTAATAACCAAGGCATTACAGTCAGATTTTTTGTTTCCCGCTTCTCATATGAGGGATCTGTTTCTTCAGGTTCAATAATCTTACCAATGATGCACTCCAATTTTCGCCTTCCACAAATAGACATTTTTGCAGACTGTGACCACACTCTAAATAATTTGTTCCATCAAGTTTGACAGTCGTAATCTGTAGGCCAGGGTTATCTCCATGCTACCCATATGGGAGGTCACAACTGGCCTACTAGTGATGGTAGAGGAGTCACCAATATTCATGCGGCCGTAACATAGGTCGACAAAGAACAAACCAAGAAACTCGTCGATTAACACAATCAGCAACTGAAAACCTGCTGAGCAACACAATTAGCAGCTCGTGTTGACTTCCCATAGGGATCCAGACCATCCATAAAAGAGGCTAGATAATGATTCAGTCTCACAACTCAAAAACAAGTTAAAGTATGTATGTTACAGAAGGTGGATAAACATCCTGAAAAGTTTTCTTGAAATAATAGGGATGGCTCTCGAGCATAAATAATTTGAGGATGACAAACATAAAGCTTTTGGGAATGATTGAGATGATTGACCACATTTATTCAGGATGCATTGGTTGATTGGTAAGTGTAGACAAGGGACTCAATGTGATAATTTCCACTTTTGTCGGCTCAGGTTAAAACTAGGTTTTCGGCCTTATGGGGTTTAGGGTTTAGGATTTAGGTTGCAAGTTTGTTGGTTTATCATCTTTTATTAGAGGATTCTTTCTACTGTTTTTCTTTTGTTGATATATTTTCTCCATGGAATCTATATGTCCTTTGTAATGAAATCCTTTTTACTTATTCGATACAAAAGAGAAAAAAAACAAAAGCATAGGAACACTTTTTGCTTCCAAGGTTCATGTGTTATGGATTTGTCTGCTTTGGTTATCTCCTCAGCTACAACTTCATCTGAGACTATTGCTGCATCATAAGGAGACTTTAGTATTTCCCTTAAGGCAACCCAGGCCATGGTGAGAAGTAGTAGGCAATCCCTCTCTCTCTCTCTCTCTTGTTTTTTTTTTTTCTGTTTTTTCTGTTCTTTTGTTTGGTTGAAGATTGCCATATGCATGAAGTGAAATTCCCTTTGGTCAAATTAAAACTATTTTGTTAATTAGTGGGATTCTAATGGTTTCCAAAGAAGCATGACTGCACATACAGAAGTTCATCAATGTGTTATCTTTGGTGATGGGCTGCTCATTACTTATATTTAGAAAGATAATAGGCTGCTCATTACCTATATTTACTTCTCTAAACGTTTGAATTGGAGTTGCGTTCAGAATGGTTAACTTTGACTTATGTGTGTCTTCTCGAATCAAATGTAGGCATATGTGGTTTCGATTTTATCTTTTGAAATAGATCTGATCGTTGACATGATTTTGAGCCTTATATTTTTTTTGAGGCATGATAAAATAAGCAAGCGATAACGGGAACTTGCAGTTTATTCCTTTTCATTTCTTTGGCGCTGTTATTTTTTGCTGGTTTATTCAAAGAAAAAGAAATTCATTTAGTTGAAGATCTTGTAGTAAGTTGGTAACACTTGGTAAACATTGAATTTATTTCTCGGATGCTCTAAATCCGTAGCTATGCTTACTTGACTAAGAATAAGCATTAGATTTGAAGCTTGGTATTGGTGTGATGGAACGGAGAGTCGCACATTGTGATATCGTACACCTATATATATATATATATATATATAGGAAGATACTACAAAACGCCTACAGGCGAAAATGAATAGTGATTTCGTCTACCCTCATCACCATCCAAACTTCATCGAATAGTCACAGTTGTTCGGTAGTGTTTCAATTTTCATTTTTTTTTACTAATAGGAATGATTTGAAATTTGGAACGTGTGTACATCCTAATGAGGCGCACCTAATAAAAATATGAAAAAATAATTCGTAAAATATAATTGACCAAAATACCCCCAAAAAATTACGGGGGTATTTTGATCAATTTATATTTTGCAAATTATTATTTTTATATTGTTATTAGGTGCGTCTCACTAAGATGTACATACGATCCAAATTTCAAGTAATTTGGATTTTTACAAAAAAAATTAAAACTGAAACACTACCGGACAACTGTGACTGTGCGATGAAGTTTGGATGGTGCTGAGGGTAGATGAAATCACTGTTTATTTTCGCCTATAGGCGTTGGGAAGACTTTTCCTATATATATATATATCTTCATAGCTTCGTGTCTTGTAGACACTATTCCAATGCGGCATTCAGCGAACTTGTTGGCCTTCTGTTGCACTCGCTGCACAGAAATGTAGTTAGAGGTAGTGATCTAAACATGCATTAGTAATATATGCTAATCTCCTCTCTATCGGCAATAGATGCCTTGCCCATAATGTCATATTAAGAATTGCCTTTGATCATCAAAAGATTTCAAGGGCGGTAAGTACATCCTAAATAGGAATCACACATTCTAATTCACCCTGTGAAGGCTTCCTTAACTATGTTAGGTCATCAGGCCCATGCAAAATGTTGTACCAATGGATATGTTAGCCTTATCCCTCGATACTCCAATGACCTGGGGAAAGTCATACCGATTGAACTACCTTCAAAGTCCCTTTTCACTTGAAGACCCATCTGAACCCGCCTAATTTCTCATATGTGATGCTTCATTGCTGGCCAAGCTCCCTTCATTCCTGACAGGATCCTCAAACTCTTACCCCTTTGAATTGCTTGAAGCTCAACCTGACTTACAGTCCCCCTGCCCTATACCTTTTAAAGTTCTGTTGTTCCTTTTGCCCATTTTCTCCTTTCTCCTTCTACACAAAATTGTGTTCCTTTCCACGGTCCTTGACGATGATATGTGTTAATTTGTCATGGCTATTGTTCTGCATGAAAGATGGCTCGGGAATAGTGGGAAATGCGAATCAACTTTCGAAAGCTAAATACTGTTTTAAGAATTTTGGTAATTACCATTCAAACATTTATATCTATGGGTCTTCTATTCCTTTTCTGTTCCAATCTCTTAACTTTAGAGGGAATCACATGCTTACAAGTGAGACTTCTGCTGGGACTGTCTATCAGGAATAAAAGAAAGTCAGTCTCAGACCATGTAAATGTCAGTAATTTAAATTGATTTTTGAAGCTTTAGCCTTGTAAGTTGAAACTAACGAGGACATTGAAGGTTGTCAATGTGGCCTTGTTGGTTTGTTAAATTTTTAATAACTATCACGGTTCCATTGGATTTGATGACTTTTGATGCGGTTTTTTAAAGCATTGTTCCTTCCTCGGTTTCACTATGACACTTGATTATTCTTTTGAATAATTTTTGTTTCATAGGTGTTCACCGACACTTCGTTCTATATGGGTTGATGGAGTTTATGAGGAAGAGGTTTGTTCCAATAACCTGTTACGGACACACAAAAACATGCACACACAACAGATAGATAAGGGGGGAAAGGAGGGAGGGACTTTTCTTCTTTCCAATTAATGTACATTTTGTTTGATTTAACAGCTTGGATCGTCAATTCTCCCCAGATGAGGTCCTGCAATTGTTGGATCGTTTCTTCAATTTAGAAATGCTGGTAGTGTCTTAATTGGATATACCATATTCTCATGTTAATGTTCTTTTCATTATTCAAAAGCTTTCTTTCGTTATTGCTTACCTAAGTATGGGTTGCATAATTAAAACTAATTGAAAAGTCCATACTGTGTTGCCCGCAAATTTTATTTTTGTCATTCTTCAACATGAGCCATTAGCAGGAACTAGAATACTTGACTGCTTTTAGTGCAAGTTATCAAAAATGGTGTCACAAATATTCGGTTGTTGAAAATCGACTACAAAATAAGGAAAATATTTTATAGGGCTACAGCTTTATAAAGCCGCACAATTGCACCAGAAAATGTATTTGTCAGTTGCAAAGCCTGATTTGATCATTTGGGCTTTGACAATCATGAATATAAAAAGTAAAAAACTGATGATAAGCCCTAAGAATCATCTATCTTGTAACATGTTTTTGGGTCATCTATTTCAAGCGTTCATAGATCCATGACATGTGCCATTCTCGAGATTCAAACTCTACAATCCAGGTGGAAATAGATTTGCAAGCCATCAAAAGTATTTCCAACACCACAACCGCACTTTCCGGTGGGGTTTCGGGAAGCGGCTTTATCAAATATCATAAAGCCACAGCCCTAGTAAAATTGCAAGCCACAAGTTGTGTTCCTACTGATGTGCTCAGAGTAGAGAGTCGAGATCTTCAAGCTTATGCTTATAGTTTAGCATATCTCCTTAAATGTACATGTTTATTGGGCATGTGAAGTTTGTATCGCAGTCATTTACTTTTATCGAATGCAGAAACCAGATGATGAGGAGATGGAAGTTTTGAACCAGGAGGAAGATTTTGCCTTGCCAAGGAGCTTTCTTGTCAAGGAAGAATAGGCATCACTACAAAACTCTCCAACAGGAATGTTGTATTTGTTTATAACATTTAATCTCAAAATGTTCGACGATTTGTTGGATAATTTGATAGGAATTTGAAGGTCTGCCTACACAGATGGTTGGACGATTTGTTGGATAATTTGATAGGAGTTTGAAGGTCTGCCTACACAGATGGAGGAGTGTATATGTTAGAGAGTTTTGTTTTTAGTTTTTCAATTTTGTTTAATTCATGTTGATAGTATTTGCATGGTTGATGGAGAGCAACAAGTATGAAGAAAATGGGAACGAACCATAACTTAATTTCTCTATACCCATAAAACATTCCTATGGGCGGGTGGGGTCGGGTCAGCTGGATCTGATTATTGAATCAGACTCAAAAATTAAAATATCCATATATTTTAAACGTATTTTATAATTAGGACCCAAAAATATAATGTGGGATTTGGGTCCAATAGGACCAAGACCCAATTTGACCCGCCAAGTCCAATTTTTTGACACACCCAGACCCCAGTTGAGTCTACCCTTCAGGTTACGGGTCCATTGCAACCCCTAAATATTCATGATTTCTACTAGTGGGAGCCAATGGATTAATCAAAACCACTGCCGACTGATCCACTCTTTACTCAATGCACACAACACGTTACACACGATAGGTGTGTTAAAAAACAAGTGTTTTTGAATCCCAGCAATTCTTGATGATGGGATATCGGCCAACGGTCCTAGCCGGGCACCTTTTAAAAACCCCTTTTCTTTTAAAAGCACTTATCTAATATTTTTTTCAGCCTCCTCAGATCTCCGCCCCCTAAGACCATTTTTTTTTACCTTTCATTTACTTTATTGCATTTTAAAATATTTTTGTAAATCACAATTTTGAAATGTCGATCTAGACAGATCCATGGAATGAACAATCCCCTGATCCGGGTTTTGAAATGCTGTACAAAGCACATCATGTAACCTCCCCGATCAGGACTGAGCCTATCGATCGCCTCGAAAACATTTCCCAATGAACCTTGTGACAACATGCCTAACAAAAACCTGGATGTGGGTGCAAATCTGAAAGATTCGGTTTGGAAGTTGTTCAGAGTGTTGAGAGCATGATGAATCCATGTCAGCCCATTTGACAACATTCATATAGAATCTTACTCAACAGCAAGTAGTGTCTCCACCTGTTTTTTGAACAATTTCACAAAGATGGAGCCTTCCCCAAACAATACCAGGCCCAAGTTGCTAGAGGTGGCAGCAGGTAACGGGTCTGGCTGGAACCAAACATGAATATTATTCAGTCAAGGTTTTGGACCTGGACTTAACTTGATGTGAAAGAGAATGCATCATGCAAACAGATGCTAAGATAATTCAAAAGCTGAACAACAGGAATGAGAACAAAATACTGTAGTGATTAAATCAATAGAAGTAGTTACTAGTGTTAAGGCGACCGAAACACACCACGAAAAAACATGATACCTCCCCCCCAAC